CACCCACCTCGGAAGGATGGAAGGATGAGTCAACCTTGAGCCGGTGAGATTTGAACAGCTGAACTGCAGATAGCAGTCAGCTGAAGTGGCTGCAGTACAGCACTCTAACCACTGCGCCACCTCGGCTCAGTTTAAAATTACACAACAGTCACAAACCTGAAGTGGGGCTGGACAATTCAACGGCCCCAGGCCTGCCGGAACAGCCAGGTCTTAGTTGCTTTACGGAAGGCCGGAAGGGTAGTGCTCAGCAGGGAGATCGTTCCAGAGGGCCGGAGCTGCCACAGAAAAGGCCCTCCGCCGGGGTGTCGCCAGCCGACATTGGCTGGCAGATGGAATCTGGAGAAAGGCCTAGTCTGTGCGATCTAATCGGTCTTTGGGAGGTAATTGGCAGGAGGCCGTCTCTCAAGTAGCATGGTCCGATACCATGTAGGGCTTTAAAAGTAATGACTAGCACTTTGAACCTCTTCTGGTTTCTGGCACATATGCACGCCGGCGAGCTGGTCTTCTTGGGTGCCAGAGCACTGAAAAACAGCCTGGAAATGGCCCGAAAAATGGCCAAAACAGGCCAAAAAAACCCAGGACATTTTGGGGACATTTTCAGGTTATTTTGGGGCTGTTTTCAGGCTGGTTTGGGGGCCATTTCCAGGCCATTTTTGGCTTGAAAAACAGTCTGAAAACAGCACAAGAAAGGGCCTGAAAATGGCCCATAATCGCCCCCCAAAACAGGCATACGCATGCTGTCCAGCTGGTCTTTGGGTTTCCAGTACTCCGGCACATGCGCGCACATGCAGACACTGAGCTCGTTGGCTGGAAAGTCAACAGCCCAGGTTCAAGACCCAAATGATGCATGATGGAGTGAGCTCCTATTACGTGCCTCAGCTCCTGCCCACCTTCCAATTCAGAAGCATGCAAGTGTGAGTAGATAAATAGGTACCACTTGGGTGGGACTGTAGCAGCGTTTTGTAAACCTTTGACATACTGTATGCTGGCCACATGATCATGGGAATGTCTCAATGCTGGTTAAGTTACCCAAGGGAGCTTTCCTATCTTCCTCGGCTAAGAACCGGAGATGAGCAGACACAACTGAGCAGGGGAAACTCTTACTTCCACCTAAGTTCTTTCAAACCTTTTGTACAACCTGTCTTGGATCAAATGGTGGGTTTTGCTGCTGGAAATGGATTGAGACTAGCTGGTGCTCCATGCAAATTCCGAGGCTTGGCGGAGTTTAGCAGTTTAGACCCAGTGATGTTGTGACTTTAGGCAAGGGGCTCCTCCG